CAGTTCTTCACTTTAATGACAGGAAAAAGATTGATCATATTTTATTAAATTTGACTCATTGTGATCATTCATCAAAAAATGACTCTAGTTATCAAATAATTAAACAATCAGGAACAAGTTACTTAAAATACTTAGTTGACATTCATAAAAAGTATGTAATGAATTATAAGTTCAATACGTCATATCTAATAAAAAGACGGATATTCCTTATTTATTATCAAACAATCACTTCTTCACAAACTTTATATGAGGCTAATAAATTTTATTTCCTGTCTCATGAAAAACCTTTTTTGCTCCTCTTAGTCCTATTGCTCCTTTAGGGATATTTTACTGATAGGTTATGAGAACGGGGTGGTCCTATTTGATCAAATACCTAATGACAAACTATTATGTTCTTTTCATTATAATATTTCTAAAAGTTCCTGGATAACAAGCCTAAAGATTTTTTTTTTATTAATGATATCAATATTGATGATAATGACGATATTAATGCTAGTGATGGATATCGATGCACACAACTTTAATGGTCGTAGTATCTTTCACATCCTTTCATCAAATTATAAAAGTTTTCTGCTACCAAATCTCTAGACTATTATAGTGTCCATTAAATGGATATATGTTCCCACATTTTTGTTTGATTTAAGCCAATTGGAAACACTGGATTTTTTTTAGTATCTTTTTCATTTTCGCAGGTTGTTGCAGGATGCTGGTGTCAATGACATAAATATGACACAGTTATCATGGTAAGAATCCAAAAGTCCTGGTTATTAGGAGGCACTTTAACATGTGCCGACTTTCACTTTGGAATTTTGTTGAGAACCTCTCTTCATACAGTGGTTATATTTTGAGATCCATGGATGTGGATTAGGGAATAGTACTTCTAGCTAACTCATCTAATTCTGCTAGTCTAGAAGTGGCTCCCTGCCTCGGGAGTCGCCTCCCCAAAATATGATGGCCTCATCAAGAGAGCCAGAAGCTGGGGCCTAAGCTGGAACTTCTTTCTATTTCGGGGGCTTGGCTTGAACTACTCCAATTTGTGGTTTCAAGTGATTGGGGTTTCCTTATTCATGAGGAGTCTTAGGAGCGGGGCAGGATTGCATAATGAATGTGACAAGTGTCTTATTATCTATTTCTTTTGATTGAATGAATTTAGAAGAATTCAAGTAAGAAGATCCCCACAATATATAATAAATTTATCAAGGTCTTGTGAT